ATCATCCAAAAGCTAAAAGTCAAAGGCCAGATACCACAATGGCTCAAGAGGGAAAACAAAGCAACAAAGTTCAACTCAAGAGGATGAAGAGAAAACTTTCACAATTATCAATTCTTCCAATAAATGTCAATGACTTGAACTGCCCACTAAAGAGACATAGGCTCCCTAAATGGATAAATATGCACAAGCCAAGTATCTACTGTCTTCAGGAAACACATCTAAACCACAAGGATGCATTCAGACAGAAGGGATGGAAAACAATGTTCCATGCAAATGGAAACCAAAAGAAAGCTAGCATAGTAGTTTTGATCTCAGATAACTTAGTCTTCAAATTAATAAAAGTAATGAAAGACAAAGATGGTAACTATATAATGGTGAAGAGTATAATTCATGAAGAAGACATAACAATTCTAAATATTTATGCACCTAACTCAGGTGCACCTGGATTCATAAAGCAAATCCAATTTGATGTCAATGTCATATTTTTGAAAGAATATTGTAATTCCTATTATAGCTTCATAAAACATAAATACCTGAATAGCTTGTGAAAATCCACCAGCTCCAGCAATTGCATGAGGTCATATCTTTATGATTAACCTCTTATTCTACATCACTCATGGTGGTTCTGTTTCTCTAATTGTAACCTGATTAACCCAAAGCCTAAGGGGAAAGGGCTAAAGAAATGAGTTTTAAAGTGATTACAGATAAATAGATCCAGATTACTGCAATGAGCATCTTTAATGAAACTGCCACTTTACATTATTATAGGAAAGGTTTTTTTCAACTTTAGAGAGCTTTACACATTTTTCTGTATGATCTATTTTAAGTCAAAAATTCAACTATTAGAGGAATGTTGTTCTTAACACCTGTTCCCAAGTGAGATAGAAGGAGGTTTTACTTAGAATTCATCTTGTGATCCAGACCACAGATTAAGTCCACAGACCACAGTCACTACCATTTCTTGCCTGGGATCTGCAGATGTGCATTTCAGCTTGGCTCCCGCAGCACGGGGTGGGGGTTCTGTCTCTTATTGAGCTCTGGGGTTTTTGTTTTGCCTTTACTATCACTTCAAACACTGTGAGTCCCAAAGAGCACAGAAATACTTTGCTGAATCTTCCAGCCGTAAGGCTGAAATGGTCAAATCGATGGACTTAGCTTCTTTCTGGAAGTTGATAGAATACCGACCATTCTTTGCATTCTGATCACCAGAATACTGGCGAAGAAGGAAAATCATCTCGTTGCTGGGAAGTTGCTTGTACCAATAAATATAGTATGAACTCCAGCTTGCTTCATACTGGCAGTTCAGGGTGACCGCCTGCCCCACGGTCCTGGTCGTGGCTGTCTGGGCTTGAGTAACTTTCTGGGCCACAGTGGATCCTGTGGGAAAAATCAGAAAACAGAGCTGATTCACTGATGTAGTGAATAAAATGTTTTAAGGTTAGCCTAATTAGCACGCAAAGACAAACCAACATGAAATCCTAGTATGCTCGCTTTTCTCTAAATTCCCCTTTCCTCCTCAAGTGCATGAGAAGTTCTACACGCCTGTGTGCAACCCTCTCTTCCTTACATTCCTACCCATGTTTGGAACCATCCATACCAGAGTAGCTGAAGGCCAGGAACACCCACAGCAGGCTGAAGGGCGGCATGTGGCATGTATCCCCCTGCACAAATGTGCTTTGTGCCACCTCAAGCTTCAGGTTCACTGTCTCTGAGTGCCCAGAAGTGTTTATGTGTAGTGCCTGTGTTCTGATGTCACTTCCCTTAACAGGAAATTTGGTTTCTCATGTTCATAGTCACGTGGTCTATGCACAGAGAGGAGAAATGTGTCTGGCTAACCTCAAATCTTTCCTTTGTGTACTTGTCCTTTCTTGGTCGTTAAGTTAGGCAGTACCTAGAGAAGAGGTATGGAAAGAGTAATTCATAATGTAGGTTGGAGCTGTGGGGAACTGCATTTGAACCCATTGATGCATTTGATTTCATTCAGTGGAATAATTTTGCATGTCTGCTTAAAGTAGAATTTATAATGAGCCATTTACCTTCTTTATTATCTACTTACTGGTCATTCATTCAACATATATGTACTTTCCTTCATCCAGAATCGAATCAAATTTCAAAGGATAATGCTCACAGATCTTTGACGTTGTTTGTGATAGGCAGCCCTAGCCTACACAATTACTGCATCTTTCTTCCTCCTTACTGAGTTCTAGGGCCCTACTTATTACCTTCTATAATATATAAAGTCACTTCAAAATCAAATGGTAAAATCAGTCCTTCTGACATTCAGAAGCTAATCAGTTATTTGTGTTTTTATAAAATTATAACAGGAATAAAATATAATCCTTTCAAAATCTGATATTGATTTTTATTTATTAGAGTAGGATCATTATATACAGTCCTGGTGACTTCACAAGTAGCATTGTACTTATTTAGATCATGTATCTTAGAATTGTCCTGATGTCATATTTTCCATCCTAATCATCCAAAGTATTCAATCACCCTGTTAAAATCTGCGGCTATTCATTCTCTTATTTGTCAAATGACGTCATGATTTGCATGCTGGACCTCTTGGTGATATTATACCATAATCTATTCTTACTGAATGGAACAGGCTGCAAGCACTTTGAGCATGGCAAAACCACTGACGTTGGTGGCTAAATTTTTTTCTATGTTTTTGTGTGATTGTGTGGAATTTATCTGTTAATCTTTTACGTGCTTTCATTTTCTTAATGGATAAATTATCATAAAGCGACTAAGACACAACTAGAAAAGAAAGTACAGACAAGGTCTCTAAAACATTTGCAGTTCTTCGATATAGGACAAAATAACATATTAATAAGTGGTGCAGGGAAGAGTTTCTCATTGTTTGAGACATCTGCTCCTGTGTCTCATTTCACCTATGAGTGCCAACAGGCAGCCACATTCTGATTTGCAATTATTTGTATCTAAGCAGATGGAGACCATGAATGTCCACAACAGCCTGGGAAGCAGTATAATAGCAGAATTTCCTTCATGTTGATATAGCCCTGCTGTGTACCCTGACAGTAGAGTTGCAGGGACACTTCGGTGCAATTAGCAGTGACCAAAAAATGTGGTTTTTGGGTGTGTCAAGTTTGAATGTGCTATAACATCGAGTTTCAGAAGTTGGGCCCTTCCTAAACATTGCTTTGCCCTTTCTTGTGATGTAATTAACAAATGACAAATGATTATATATAGTAAAGGACAAGTATAAAACTTAATATTGAATGAAGTACTAGGAAATTAATTATTTAATATTTCAAAATTTACTTAATCTGTAATAAGTCTTAGGGGCTTATCTGAAACAAATTTTGTTTGAATCATGGCTATGATTGCTAATATTCATTTCTGTTTTGATTGTTCTCTTGCCTCCAACTGATTGTTAGGTGAAGTGTGCTCACCAATCCTTGTCTTCAGTACAGGAAACAAACCAGAAGTCATCACCTCCCTTCCTTCCCACTTACCCATGAAAGCATTGGAACTTTTAACTACATAACAGCAATGTATCCTCTCATATGAGATTTAAAAAGCCTTCTGAGTTCTATAATCTCTCCAATTGTGTACTAGAGTATCAATAATAGCAGCTATATACATCTATTATTTATAATACAACTCTTAATTTTATTAGAAGTTCCATGGACCCTCAAAATTCCCCAAAATATTCAGCCATGTTGTAGCCATGATTATATGTCTGCTGTTTGGTGCAATTCTACAATTCTTATTATAGCTACCAGGAAGACAAAACTTCTCATAAAATGCTGTTTTATTAGTGAAAATATTCAAAACTATTAATAGTATATATGTTGTCCAAAATAACCATATTTCCTACTTTGTA